AAACAGCACAAATAAATAAATAAATAAATAAATATATATATAGAGAGAGAGAGAGAGAGAGAGAGTATTATTCTTTTAAATGCATTAAATGTATTAATTTCCTATTCATTTATATTACTTTACATTCTTTGAATTCAGTTTAAATATGCAGTTTTATTTATGTATTTATTTTATATATTTTTGCAGTTTTTTTTAAGTGATTTTATTTTCGGCCTTCAGTTTTGAGATTAAATAATATTATAGAGTAATATGAATAAAAATGCAAATTTATATACAATTTATTAAATATTAACAATTCATAATACACATTCATTAATATAAAATTAATACATTAAAAATAACAAGCTATTACTAAATATAATGTAGAAACTTTCATTTTCTGTAAAGCTGCTTTGCAACGATTTGCATCGTGAAAAGAGCTATACAAATAAACTTGAATTGAATAATACTATAAAAATAAAAAATGAATAAATTTAACAAAATATTAATTATTATATTTCAATTAAAAGAATAATATAAGTTAAAAATAAAATTAATAAATTACTATAAATGCATATATTTAAATAAATAAAACTTAAATGTAAATTATTTAAATACACAAAAAAATTAAGATGCAAAAATTAAATTTGAAGTAGAATACTACTTCAGAATACTACTTAAGTCACCTTAAAAACTACAAAAATATTGGGGTTCAAACAGATGAAATTGTATAAAAGATGAGAATCAAATGAACTGCATCATGGGAGTCGTGTCTGAAACAAGGATTGAGAGGAAAATGAAGGCGATGGAGACGAGATGTGATGATTAGATGAAATAAGTCTTCATGCAGGTGCGCAGACGCAAGATTATTAAATCATCAGCGCCGACAACTGCGACACTGGCTTTTAATTGCATTGAGTTTGCATGGCGTGGATCGAAGTGAAAAGCACACAAATCAACATCTCTCAATCAACAGCGAGAGAGAGAGAGAGAGAGACGGAGGAAATAAAAGTCATTTTCCTGCGAGCTGCACTCGGCTGTATTACATCGGGCTGCTATTTCCAGCGCCGCGCCGGAGCTGCTGTTCAATTACCAGAAACATTCTGCAGCTGAAGTGAAGACAAACACTGTCTGTGTGTGTGTGTGTGTGTGTGGGCATAATAAATGGCAACAAGCGCTATTCTTCACTCCGAAATGTCAATGTCTCGCAGCGTAACTCCAGGGCTTTGCCATATTATGCTCAGAAATGCATTTCCAGCCCGACTGGAAGGATCAGACTCCACCTGGAAAACAAGCAGCGCTGAGGAGAAGAACCAACCTAAACTAAAAGTACAATCATGCTGCGAACATTTTTCAGGAGCGTAACTGGGCTGTTTCCAAAATACTGCAGGTGTTACAAGCTACATTTCCTTAACGAAAATTGTGACAATAGGGAGATCAATATTTTTTAAAGAGTAAAAATAAAAATAAAAATAAAAGGAAATGCATGTATTGAGATTATTTTAAACTACAACAATAAAAAATGAAAAAGCATATAAAAAAGTGTCACTGTGTGCATAAAGTAATATATAAATAATAGCAACTAAAATATATAAAACTATTTAAATACAATTTTAAATGTAAAAAATAAATACATTTTTAAACAACTCCAGTTGCAAAGTATTTAAATTGAATTTGTAGTGGAATACTTAAATAATGAAAAAATATATGTTTTGCAATTCCAATACATATGCAATATATATTGGCAATATATATTCTACAAAATATCTGCAAAAAAAAAATGAGGCACTATTTTATGTTTTTGAAAGAAGTAGGTTTTTAGCCAATTTGCACAAACATCAGAATAATATTTATTTATTTATTTATTTAGTTATTGAAATCTTCCACTTCAAATTTACATTAAATCTGCTCTTAGCAACTTTCAAATAAATAACAATTAACATTTAAATTGTATTTTATTTAAATATATATATTAATGTATAGTATTTTTATTAGTTTTTTGAAAGAAGTCTCTTCTTAGTCACCACTTCTGCTTTAATTTGATCAAAAATTACAGTAAAAATAGTAATATTTCGAAATATCATTACAGTTTAAAATAATAACTTTCTATGTGAACATATGGTAAAATGTCATTTATTCCTGTGATGCAATGCTGAATTTATTAGGATTCTTTGATAAATAGAAAATGAATAAAAAAACAGCATTAATTTTAAATGGAAATCTTTTGTAAGATTATAAATGTCTTCATTTTAGCTTTTGATCAATTTGATGCATCCCTGCAGAAAAGAAATTACATTATACAAATTTAAAATGAAACTAAAAAAAAAAAGAAAGAAAGAAAAAAAAGAAAAGAATTTAAGATGAAGCGAGTATACATTTTTTTACACTTTTTACAAAAAAAAGACGACAAAGAAAAAGCTATTACACTGACACTGAACTCTCCGGGATCAATCTCTTTTATTGTTGTGTTTCTCACTGCTGAGCCAATCAACGGAAACAGAGGAAACAATCACAGGCCTCTGAAGACACCAGAGCATCTGAGATGAACATGTTAATAACGCTCTAGACCAGGTCTGGCCATTACACGAGCCGTTCAGGCGGATTATAACCCGTTTCTCCGAGATCTCACAACACGATAGAAAACTGAGCAACACTGAATATCAATGATTTTAATGCGATTTTCTCTCCGATTCAAGGATTCATTCACAGCACCATTAAAAAGTGCTCATTTTTCATGCATAAAAATGTATAATGTAAATATATATGTGTGGACTATTCTGTCTTTTGATTAGTTCATTTGTCCTTTCGTTCTTTTTATTTTTGTTCTTTTAGTTTGTCCTTTTCATTTGTTTTTCTTCTTTTCGTTGGTTCTTTCCTTCCAATCTTTTTGTTTGTTCTTTTTCTTTATTTTCATTTCTCCTTTCTTTATGTTTGTTCTTTCTTTTTGTTCTTATAGTTTTTTCTTTTTCTTTGTCCTTTGGTTCTCTCTTTTTGTTTTTTTTCTATTGTTTGTTCTTTCTTTTTATTCTTTCTGTTTGTTCTTTTTCTTTTTCATTTGTCCTTTTTGATTGTTTTTGTTTAAATTTTTCCTTTTTTTTCGTTTGTCCTTTTCATTTTTTCTTTTAGTTTCTTTGTTTTCTTTTCGTTTGTTCATTCTTTTCATTTGTTTTTTCTGTTTTTTTTTTTTTCTTTTAGTTAGTTTTTTCTTTTTGTTCTGTTCTCTTTTTTTTCTTTTCGTTTATTCTTTCGGTCTGTTCTTTTTCTTTCTTTTTGTTCTTTTCATTTTTTTCTCTTCTTTTGTCCTTTCGTTTGTTTATCTTTTCATTAAAGTGTGACTTTAAGTATAATTCTGTAATAGTCCAGAAATCAGTCTTATTTCATGAATGTGCAGGTGTAGGGCTCTCTGAGTAATGAAGATACGCCTGTAGAAGATATAATAATGAGAGGACTGTTGAGCGACACGAGAGAGATTCAATCTGAAGATCCGCTCATGTGCTTTAATTAGCCGTGCGTCACTAATCACTGCAGATCACCACGTGTGACGAGAACCTCTAAATGCCAACACGATCGGGAAAAACCACCCACGTGTGCGTGTGATATAAGAGAGAGAGAGAGAGAGAGGGAGAGAGAGAGAGAGACAGGTTTCACTTCTGCAGACAATACCAGCTGGAACACCTGCGCGCACACACACACACACACACACACACTTTTATTAATGTGGGGTTCCAAGCACTTGCCACTGTAAAAGTGATCTACATTATCACCAGTCATCACGAGATCAGTCACACACACGCACAAACATCTGTGGTGTGGTGAGGCGAGAACCGTTACTTGTGCTGGTCTGCGGCCGACTTGTGAGGAAATGAGGCAGAATAAAGAGTGTAGATTTACTGCTGGGTAATCAGCTTTAAAGGTCAAACTCATCAGATGAGAGAGGGAGAGAGAGAGGGAGAGAGGGAAAGAGAGAGGGAGAGAGGGAAAGAGAGAGAGGGAGAGGGAGAGAGAGGGGGAGAGAGGCAATAAAGCACTCTTAAATTGAAATTGAAATTGAATTGAGAGAGAGGGAGAGAGAGGGAGAGAGAGAGGAGAGAGAGGGGGCTCCTGTTTCACGTGTTGTTGCGCGTCACTCCCGTTCCAAGTCTCGCGTGTGTTTTCGTGACAAAACGTGGTTTGTAGAGTCGTTGTGTGACAGAGTTGTTGTCAGCTCGTGTGGTGTGTAACCCCCTCATTTACATAAAGTCACGTAGTGTGAACAACACAACGACTTAAAGACAGACAATCAAGTCATGTAGTCTGAACAGCACAGCGATCTGCCGACGTCGTGTAGTGTGAACTTAGCCTTAAGGCTTGTTCACAGCGGGACGAATATCGCGCGCGATTATCGGCGAAGTTTAACACCTCGTGACTAAACAAAGACTGCGCCAAACGCGAGGCATAAAGCGTAATTTTTTTTAAGTCCCCCTGTAGTCAAATATTGTATCCCTTAAAACGTATCTTTATATTTAAATGTTTTTTTCTTGTGAAAATAATTTTCTCATGCCTTAAAATAGCTTGAATGTGACTCTACACCCTTGCCTCATTTACTATACACGGATCTATGAATATGCAAATTAGCCCCGCCTCCACTCAGTCACACAGCACCGCCTCCTGATCCACTGAACTGTAGCAACCGCAAAACAATGGCATACACGGATAATGACTGATAAAACTATGTTTTTACTAGTGGACAACTACAGTGAATACTGTAACATTCGTTAAAGTTACTTACTTGTCGATGTTGTGTCCTAAAACGCCTTGAAGACTCGAATACAGCCGTTTGTGATTGTTAATTCACACCCGCGAGCTACTTTTACACTGTTGCCACGGGTTATAATGCACAGCTTCATGGGTTTTTTGCTCTGATTTATTTTTGGTTTTGTGCTGGTATTGGTATATTTTACATGCTAGTGTTAGGAATCGATCCCTTGACGTGATTGGTTATTGGTTTGTGACGTAGCAAACCGAGGGCTGTTTCAAACCATATTTCTGGGTCAGCTACAGTTTTAAGGAGAAAATACACAGCAATGGTGTTGATTAATAGATTGGCACATGGTTTGTCTAAAAGCATATTAAAAACACCACATAGACAAATAAACAACATAAAAAAACTTGATTTTCACTATAGGGGGACTTTAAAAACGCCTCGGGCTCATTTTTTTGGTTTGACGCGCCGTGTTAAAAACTGGCCGACCAATGAGATTGGCGCTTTTGTTCACGTGCCTGGAGCTGCTGCAGTTACAGTAAAACACGACTTGGTGGCGCTCAAGCACAAAGCGGTCTTGCCAAGCACACATTGATACCTAACGACGAAGAGGAAGTAAGTAGACGAAGAAGATGCATCAAGATGAATGTAGAGCTGCTGGTCTCATTGGTGTCTGGACACAAAGGGCTTTATGACAAACGCGACAGCGACTACAAAAATTTCGATAAGAGGGAGTTGTTATGGAGAGGAATTGCCGATCAAATAGGATTCGATGTGTACCGTGGTATTTCTGTTTTTCATTAAGCGCCATCTACTGTCAAGGAGTGAATTTGCACATTCACTCGGCTCATCGCCAGCGAAAATCACTTGGGTATGAACACAAAGACGCGTCGAAAAACGTTGGCGATAAGCGCGCGCGATAATCGTCCCGGTGTGTACGAGGCTTTACGCTCACCTGTGTGGCCATCTTGCCGTAGTCGATCCAGCGCAGGGTTGCGAAGTTCGTGGACTCGGCGCAGTTGAAGCCGTGGTTGAATCCGGCGTGATATCCGTACGGAAACGTGATCATGAACTCGCCCTCCTCCTGCGTGATCTGCGGAAGAAAGACAACAATGACAAAATCATCACGACGAGGTCCACGTGCAAAATCTCTGAAACTGTTTCACGTTATCTGCGCTGATTGTGGCGTGGAATCTCGCAATTACACGAGATTTATTTAATACAGTAAACTACATTGAACTGGGAGAATTAGATTCGGGGAACTGGAAAAAGTACAGCGTTTTATAGCGAATAAATTGCATGAGAAAAATGTGTGTGGGGGGGGGAACGAAAGAAACAACTTATTTTTAATTGCTATTTAAATAAATTAAAAAAAATTTAAAAAGTCAAACGAAATACAAATCAAGACTGTTTTTCATTCAGTTTAATTTAAAAGTAATGATGCACTAATACAAAAAAGTCAAATGTTTTTGGCTTAAACAAATTAACACCAAATAAAGAAAATGGATGTGAACGAATGATGAACAAAATGAAAGAAACTAGTTTTAATATTATCATTTTTATTATTGAATTAATAAATTAATGATTGAAATTAATAGGGTCACCTAAGATAATTAAATTAACTTTTAAATCCTATTTAGATTCTAATGCCGATGTTGTGGAACTGTAAAAAGTACAGCGTTTTATAGCGAACAAATTGCTAAAATAGTATACGCAAAAAAGCAAGAGAAAGAACGAAATAATGAAAAATTAATTATGTGAAGAATTGATAAATAAACAAAAAAAATAAACAAAAGGAACAAACAACTTACTACTTTTATTAGCTTTTTAATTAATGAATAATTAAAAAAAATGAAAATTCAAATAAATACTTTTAAATTAAATTGAATTAAAACAAAAAGTCAGGTACTAAACAAACAGTCAAATGAAATACAAATTAATACAAATTAAAGAAAATTTATGTGAACCAATGAATAAACAAAGGAACAAAGTATTTTTTCCTAAAAATTTCCTTTTTATTTAATTGATAAATTAGCAATTAAAAAATTAAGAGGACAACTAACATAATAAAACAGACTTAAATAAAAATTTGTTTAATTAAAAAGTGAGGTATTAACTTTAAAAAGTGCAGCGTTTTATCATGAAAAAATACGCAAAAACAAGATTAATAATTAATAATAAAACAATTAATAATATGAAACAACAAACAAACTAAAGAAAAATTAAGAATGAACAAAAAAAAAAAGAAATGAAACAACCTATTTCTTTTGCTACTTTTCTTACATTTAATTTGTAATTAACTAAAATACAAGTAATTACAAATTAGTTAAAAAGTCAACAAAATTAAAAATAAAAAACACAAAAGTAAGAGAAATAATTACGAATAGTAAAGAACAAATAACGAATTTAAGAAAATGATGAATGGACAAAATATAAACAAAACAAACAACCTATTTATTTTGTTACTTTCATTACATTTAAATTTAATTAATAAATGAAAGATTAAAAAATTAAAACTAAAAAAGATATATAAATACCTGCACAAAAGCAAGAGAAAGAAATAAGAACGTGAAAGAACAAAATGAAGGAATTAAAGAAAAATGATGAACAAAAGTAACAAATGTGTAAAATGTATAATAAATAATGAATAAATTGAATTAAAATAAAAAGTCAAGTATCATTGGTTAGGGTTGCAAAGGGGTGGAAAATTTCCGGAAACTTTCCAAAAAAAATCCCTGGAATATTCCCAAAAATATCCTGGAAAGTTTCCAAAATTTCTGGAATATTTCCGAAATTTACTAGAAATTTTCCACCTTTTTGCAACCCTAATCATGGTGTAAATTTACATTTCAAAAAATCTGATTGCAAAAATATTACATATATAAATGAAGGCAAGTGTCTTTGCAAATTACTAGAGTTTGAATGTCAGTATCTGCAGCACTTTATTGTAAATTCTGCTCGTGTGCTAATAATCATGAAGCTCTCGGCTCATCCTCATGCGACGCATGTGTCTCTGAAGATGGAAGTGCTGGACGTTTAATTTTTTCCCAGCTATTGCTCCGTTACCCCACATTTTATTAATTTCACTCTACAGTAATCTGGGCGAAGGCAACACTGAACTGTACTTTGATGAAAGAGCCAATAACCGCTGAATTAAGCTGCAAACGACACTTCAGAGGGAGAAAAAGCCGTCGCGGGAAAATCAGCCGAGACTGAGAAACACGGCGGCTTCCAGCGCTAATATCTGTAGTTATTAGCGGCTGATGGGAAAATAAATTTGCTGTGAGAAATCTTCAGCCTCCCCTCTCGTTTTCTCCATACATTCATCGTCTCTTCCTCGGCTGCCAGCGGCCAGAATAAACGCTGGAAAGATATTTCAGACGCTACGAGGTGCTAAGCATGGCAGAGACTTAGCCGGCCTTAGCTAATGAATATTTTAATTTCACTCCGTTTTCTTGCTTTGCGATCGGTGGAGTCACGCTTCAGCGTCATGCTGGCGTCCATTAGAAAGAAAGTCAGATTCATTAATGCTGTTCGGAGACATATTTCACTGCTACGTGTCTGGTGTTTTCGTAGGATTGGCCCTAGGGTGTGTTCGCACTCTTAACGAAGTTAGATTATGAGTTGGGTTACTACAAACAGTACTGCTTTCTGTTATGACAAAAAAATGATAGAATTGTATATATGAGACGAGAATAAAAAAAACATGAAAACAATTAACGAAAAAAAAATGTCAACGAATGAATGAGCAACACAATCAACATGAAAAACAGCGTAATAAAATATGACAATAAAAATAATTTTCATTTGAAAAGTAAACTAAAATAATTAATTCTGAAAATAAAAAAATTACTTTTAATTTAAAAATAACGTCAGGTATTACGGTGTACATTTGCATTACAGTAAAAATCTGATTGCGAAAAAATTATACATACAAAGTTTAATACACAGCGAATAACTAGCATTTGAATTTTGCAGAAATGTATATAAAGTAATTACTCATTTTAAATGAAATAATTTTAACTGATTTGAAAGAACGTTAATTAACTTAACTTTTAATAAAGCAATAAAGTCCAAATTTATGGTGTAAATTTGCATTACAATAAACAATTTGATTATATACACAAAATATTTAATAAAACAAGTGAATTTTTCAGAAATGTATATGAAAATATTATTAATTTTAATTGAATTGAAAGGATAAGTCATCTAAATTAATAAAATATTACATAAAATAAAATTTATTTTTAATTTTAAAATAAAGTCAGGTATTACGGTATAAATTCCAATTACAAAAAAAAATTTAATCTAAAAATATTATAAATAAAAAAACACTTTAATAAAAATACAAGTGACCTAGTGAATAACTGCATTTGAATTTTGCAGAAATTTATATAGAAGTATTGTTTTATTTTTAATAAAATAAAATTAACAACATTTAAAATAAATAAAAACATAACACATTTAAATTAAAAAGTACATTTAAACTTACAATACATTTACATTTTACTCATTCTTTTAAATTTACTTTTGTTTTTAAGATCCCCACCCCAAATATTAAATGCATATTTAAATGAAAGACGACCAAAAACAGGACCCAAAAGTCACAAAAAAACTGATCTGAACTAAAACAAAAAGAAAAAGTAGCAGACAAAAATACCAAGGCACTCTGAAATCCCGATTTTACTTCCAAAATGAGTCCTATTCCAGAGCGTGACAGGCTTTTCAACAAGAAAAAAGTACATTTTCAGTTCATGTTGACGTTACCGTAAGGCATTTCAAAGGAAACCACGGTACACCATCCAGAAATCATGCTATATATTGGTATTAAGTCTGGTATTACGTATCGTAACGGTCTTAACGGTCACCATAATGATGGAGCGGATGAAACTTAATGCATGATTTTCCTTGCTGGGTTTCTCCTCACACTCTCGCCGACTGTTCGCTAGCAGGAGTTTGCGCTGAAGCTCTAATAACGTCCCCAGACACACGGAGAGAGACAGACAGACAGACAGGAACCTGCTGAGATCAACACTTCAGCATCTCCCTCTCGGCTTCATCTCACTCCAACTCCACCGAGTGTCACGTCGACTCAAACGTGACAATAACATCCATCGTATGGAGGAGCGGCGGGAGTGAAAATCAGGATTGCATAGCAGCGCTGAACTTTATCTAGCCTCATTATAGAGATTTATTCCCATTTTAATCTCACTGTGAGGGTCTCGGGCTCCTGACAATGGGAATTATCCCTTGAGAAGGAAAAAAAAAAAAAAGACTAATTTGCATGGATGGAAGCGGGCGGCGGAGTAAATTAAAGCAATAAGCCCCAAGAAGCGAAGGTTACAGAGAATTTATAACAGCTAAGGAGCGTTGTTAGGTATGACGCGAAGCGGAGCAGGGTCCGTGGTTGGCGTATAGATCACGTTCGTTGCGTAAATACACATAAAATGATGTGTGAGGAGTCACAGCACTTTAGTTTACCACCCTCGTCATCTTTGTACGCGAAGCTAAATGCTAATGCTACAATTTCTACCCACAGGCAGCCCGTGATATTAGCGCAGCGACCTATATTAGCATTAGCATGCAAAACACGCCTTCAGAGACTCCCAATACTCCCAAAAAAGCGACCAAGCTTCGCCATCTAACATGTTTTTTCTTTAACAAAAACAGAAATATGTACATGAAAAATTAGTTAGCAAGGTTAACGCGCACAACACACACCTTACTTCTAAAAAATTATTTTTATTTCACAAAAGTGCAAATAAACACTCACAAAAAACGTCTAAAGTGTGTGTGTGTGTGTACCGCTAACGTTTGTGTAAATTGTTCGTAAAACAATTCTGATGAAAGTAGTCGCAACACATTTCAGCTATAAGCCAATGAGAGAAGCTAGCAATGTTACTGTCGTTGGCTTCTGTTTGCTGCTGTATTAATGAAACACAAGGAGAATGTTCGTTAGAAACATTTCTAATGAAAATAGTCGCAACAAATTTCCACCGAAAATTCAATTTGCTTGTGTTTCTTTAAAAATTGACAGAAGCTAATAAAATTAGCTTTATTAGCTTCTCTTACTGGTGTATTAATGAAACAATCAGAAAGTTTGCGTTAATCGTTTATTAAAAACCATTCTAATTGTCGCAAACAAATTTTCACAAAATTCAATTTTCAAGTTTCTATAACAAAAATAAAATGTCAGAAGCTAATAAAATTAGCTTCATCAGCTTCTTTTACTGGTGCATTAATGAAACAAGCAGAATGTTTGTGTAAATTGTTCGTTAAAAAACATTTCTAATGAAAATAGTCGCAACAAATTTCCACAGACATTTTTATTTTATTGTGATTCTTTAACAAAACAATGACAGAAGCTAATAAAATTTGCTTCATTAGCTTATTTTTACTGCTGTATTATTGAAACACAAGCAGAATGTTTGTGTAAATTGTTCGTTAGAAACATTTCTAATGAAAATAGTCGCAACAAATTTCCACCGAAAATTCAATTTGCTTGTGTTTCTTTAAAAATGGACAGAAGCTAATAAAATTAGCTTTATTAGCTTCTCTTACTGGTGTATTAATGAAATAATCAGAAAGTTTGCGTTAATCGTTTATTAAAAACAGCTTTATTAGCTTCTTTTACTGACGTATTAATGAAACATGAGCAGAACAGAGTTATAAATAGTTCACAAAACCATTCTTGAATTAAAAATTGTAGATTTCAATTAAATGAAATATGAATACAATGTTTATTGTTAAATGTATTTAGTTATTAATATTATTAAATTAATAAAAATGTATTACGCAAATTACAATAAATAAATTAGCTTTATTAGCTTCTTTTACTGATGCATGGGCAGAACGAAGTTGATCGTATACACACACATAAAAAATGTCTTTCGTTAAACACGAACATTTAAAACAAGAAATTGTTAAAGACTAATAGACTGAATTTATGTAAATCAGTCATAAACCATGCATAAATTACTTTTTTCATGATTTTATGAACAATTTACAAATAAATTTTTCTCGGTGAAATAATTTTTTTAATTTATTTAGATATAAATCACATCCGACACGCGTGTAATAATTAATTAAAGTTATTACAAAACTATGAGAAACTATGAATAATAATTAGAAATTATTATTATCTCAAAGTTGGTAATAATTAAAAAATTTACGATTTTTATCCATGCAAATGTTAATCATAGAGGCTCACAATTAACATTAAATCAAACAGTGTAAAAACCTTTAATTTGTTTCATGCTATTATGTGATAATCTACATAATAATAAAACATAATTCAATATAGCAACAAATTGTAAATTGAAATACACAATTATTATTATTATATCAGTAACTTTTTAATTTATTTAAAAATAATAAATATAATATAAATTATAAAAATGAAAAGTTTTTGTTGTTGATTTTTTATTTACTTTTATTATTATTATTACTACTACATTTTAACGTGTTTATAATTTATTAGTATTACACAAATCACATAATAACATGACATAGAAATACATTATGTGGCAATCTGCACAATACAATTATAAATATATTAATAGAACAATAATGATAAACTGTAAATAAGTTAAATACATATATATTTATTATTATTACTTCAGTAATACTTTATGTATTAATACTACTACTACTACTACTAATAATAATAATGATAAATAAAAAAATGTTTTATAAAATTTTGATTTATAGTTCAATTATTATCATTACATTTTTAATGTTTTTATAATGTACTGCAAATTATAACATAAAAACATACAGCACATTGCATAAAGATTTCCCACTACTTGATTTTGTGCACCTCTAGGATATGCCACTTATCTCCCGCCATATTATCTGAACGAACATCTGTGCTGTGTCAGTGACAGGAAGTGATGTAATGGGTGAATAACTCACTCGGTCAAAGGGGATGCTGTATTTCTTCAGGATCGATGGAGAAAGGAGGGTCATCTTGTGACGGAGAAACGCGTCGCAGCCCTGAGAACTTCCTGGGAAAAAGCCTGCAGAAAACGACAAGCAGCAAAGAGAGAGAATGAGAAAAATGCCAACGGATGAAACACTGAAATAAACAGACTGATGATTTTTAGAGGACAAACGGTGCGGGTATAAATAAATTATAATAATGATAATATTTATGTTACTATGTCATAACTGTGTATATATATGCATTTAATTTTCATTATTAAATTATAGATTATTATTATATTATTAAGATTAAGAATATTGCATGATGTTTCTTTTACATTTCTTTTTTAATTTATTCCATATAAGTAAAATAATTTTTTATTTATTCCAGTTACGCTAAAAGAGAATATTATATACTGCACAAACTTTATGAAATTTGGGTCGTCTCATATGATAACAATTTATTTTATGTTATGTTGTCAATTTTTTTATAATAATACATATATTAATTAATATTTTTATTAAAAAATAAAATTGTATATATATATATATATATATATATATTTTTTTTTTTTTTACTGTTGTTATATTATTATTATTACTATTATTATTATTGAGATTGCATGGTTTCTTATAAATTTCACATAGGAATTGATTTCACAAATAAATAAAATAATTTAAAATTTATTTGCAATATTACAAAACAAGAATAATATTAATACTGTATAATAAATAATTATATACTGAATAATAAATACTGTAAAATCTTTATGGAATTTGGCTCATTATTATATGATAATTTGTTTTATGCTACAACAACATTTGTAACAATACATTATAAATATATTAAATATATAAAAATGTATATTAAAGCATATTATTATTATTTATTATTATTAACTTTAAAAATAAAAATCACATCTACATATATTTTTAAGATCGCAAGACGTTTATATATAAACTCATTCCATAAAATGGATTAATTATTTTTTATCAATTCCCGTTATTAAAGAATTATAAGACGAAGAAATTGTAATGTCTTTATGGAATGTGTTTCATATTATTATATGACAACTTGAAATAAGCATACTAATAATAATTAGTACTATTGTTACTACTAATAATTTTAGTCATATATCAATAAAATTTTGAAAAAAGGATGATTAAACCCAATAACACTGTCCTGTGTGAGTTTACACTGAAGTCTGCAACATCATTAGAAACATGCTAATGCAAAACTACTGGAATCAACTTTAAAGGGGTCACATGATGCGATTTAAATTTTTCCTTTCTCTTTGGAGTGTTACAAGCTCTTGGTGCATAAAGAAGATCTGTAAAGTTGCAAAGACTAAAGTCTCAAATCCAAAGAGATATTCTTTATAAAAGTTAAGAGTCAGCCACGCCTACCTAAAACACCTCGTTCTAACACGCCCCCACATGTCTACATCACTATGTGAGAAGATTTGCATAACGTCATCCAAATGTTCACGCAAAGAAAGAAGGCGTAACTTTTATTCTCGCTGTAGTATTGTTGTTGTTGCCGCTGCCGCCGTGTCGTGAAGACACTGTGTGTTTTGTTGTAAAAGCGAAACTACTTTGTTTGGTCTTCCAAAAGAGGACACGACTACAAATCAGTGGTTAAGTTGTATTTACAACACTGTTCCAGAACACTTCAACCCAAATATTAAGATGTGTGCAGCGCATTTTATGGAGGACTGTTTCCTGATCCTGGGAGAGTAGACTACAATGCCGGCTGTTCTGACTCACAGACTGTAAGTACGTTTTTTATATTTAAAGGATTTGCCACTGATGATTCAAACGGAGTAGCGCTTCTTTTTTGTCATTTCTCTGATCACAAATGCAGACAGAGTTTTATGTTTACGCAGCGCGATGCAATGCAAAGCGTAAAAACACAGTAAAAGTCATTATAATCAATAATTATGTCTCCACTGGATACAACAAATGCCTCGTTTGTAATGGGTTTAAATGTTTGTCTCGTCGCTCCGGCTGGGACACGCATCACAGTATGGTGAGGGGCGTAACATTTCCGTCTCACGCTTGAGGTATTCGGCCAATCACAACGCACTGGACAGCTGGCCAATCACAGCACACCTCGCTTTTCAGACCGATGAGCTTTGTAAAAATCAACGCGTTTCAGAAAGGCGGGGCATAGAGGAGAAACAATAATGTACAGTATGTGGAAAATAACGTGTTTTTTTACCCTTAAGCCGCATAAACACATTTCATTACACCAAATACACAAAATAATGTTCTTTTTTAGCAACATCATATGACCCCTTTAAGTTTCCTTTTCCGAATCAGTGGTTTAGCATAAATGTTAGCGGTTAACATGCCGTCAGTCTAGAGCAGGGTTTTAGCACAGAGTCAACGTAAAGCTATTCCAGTGAAATCATCAGTGGAGACTCGGTAAAGCGAGAGTCAGTGACGAGCGAGGGCTGATTACGAGCGTAACGTGTAATCACCGGTTTTGAGGTTACGGGTAAAAGCTTGCGCGTGCGTCAGACGGTCCGGTGCGCCGCGGGTCACTACATCAACCTCGCGCTGAATCACGCTGAAAGCCTTTAATTATTATAATCGTCTCCTCATTCCTGCCCACAGACTACAATAAAGGTCATTACGACACAGAGAAAAGGTCTGATAACCGCCACAACAGCGCAAACACGCGTGATTCATCCGCAGCCTCTATCATTAGCGCTCGCACGATTAAGTGGCTTTACCGGCTTAAATATGGCAGATTTGGGGTCATTTTCACTTAGCAGAGAACTTTTTCCACAGTAACTTTGATGGTACATCCACCCGTCTGCAATTTCCTTCGGTTTAGCGCGCTATTCTTTCCAAGATCTCTCTAAAACAAGTGAAGATTCGCGTCTCTTCGATCAACACACACGCGCTCTCACACACACACACACGCGCTCTC